AGCTATACCAGCCGGTCTAATAAAGAAAACCGCTTATATTTATTAGCTTGTCACAGTAATTTAACTACTGTATTCTTGATTTAATACTTCTTAAGTATTGGTCATTTTTATAGCAGATATCCATTGATACCTGGGAACTGAAAGTTTTTTCATTTCAGTTGACAGGATTTTACTAATCTAATTCAGATGAAACAGAATTAGATGGAGTTAAGGCAAGTTCTAGTACTTCAGGGCTTTTTTCCTGCATTTTGATAATTAACCGAAAAAAGGAAAGTTCTTTTTAACTTCTTTTTTCTTTACACACATTTAAATATTTTAAGATTTTTTTTAAAAAGCAATCCACCAGTCATGAAATAGCAGCTGAAAAAAACCCTTCAGTTTGTTTGTTTTCTTCTTAGCAGTAATTTTGATCTTTACATGCCTTTACTCATGTTCCTCCCCCCCCCCATATTTTTTACCAGTTTACCAGGAGTGAGAAAAGAAAATGGATCCAGACTTTTTAAATGTGTTTACCCAGCCTGCTGCACTTAATCAATTCCTAGCTGAGAACGTCATCGCTCAAGGTAGGTACTTTATGAACCAGGACAGAAAAATGTCCAAGGAATGACCTGAAGAACTAAGCAGAAAATGTGCAGTACAGACGAATTGTATATTTTTCAGCAGTGGTCCCATGGTTTTATCAGCAGTAAGCAAGCTGTGTGTGTGTGTAATATGGCTGCTGACTCTCTAGAGGCAGATCGTGAAGAAGCAACACACATTCTAGCTGATTCTTTAATGGAAATTTAAATTTCACACATAAGGATCTGACCAAGTTTGTTTTCCTCTTTCCAGGATTGTCCATCTAGATCTTGCTGATTTGAATTGCACTGAAACATAATTTCCAACAGCAGTCTTAATACTCTGATATACCATTTTCTCGCTCATAAGGAATCAGTTAAAATAAAAAATGACAGTGTTTCTACATATGACTATGTTGTGGTTTAACCTCAGTTGGCAACTGAGCACCACACAGCCGCTCGCCCCCCCAC